AAATTTGGTGGATGATCGGTGAAGATCTAGGGGGGCATTAGCAAGACTGGAATAAGGCAGGTTCATCTTTGTTAACCATTCATTAAGCAAGACACGTACAAGATTATCTTGGAAGAAAACTTCCTTCTGCCCTGAGGAATTGTTTTTTTCCAGCAGGACAGTGCTCCATGCCACACAGCCGGGTCAATCAAGGTATGGATGGAGGACTAGCAGATCGACACCCGGTCATGGCCAGCTTAATCTCCAGACCTGAACCCCTTAAAAACCTCTGGAATGTGATTGAGAGGAAGATGGATGGTCACAAGCCATCATACAGAGCTGAGCTACTTGAATTTTTGCACCAGTAATGGCATAAAGTCTCCCATTAGCAATCTGAATGACTGGTGGAGAGCATGCCAAGACGCATGAAAGCTGTGAAGAAAAATCAGGGTTATTTCACCAAATATTGATTTCTGAACGTGTTCTCTTTGGATTTTTCAAGGTCTGAAAAACTGCCTCTTTTTTATTTTGACCAGTTGTACTTTTCTGCAAATAAATGCTCACAATTGCAATATATTTATTTGGAATTTGGGAGAAAACATTTCTGTAGTTAACAGAAAAAAACAAAAATGTTTATTTTACTCAAACACATACATATAAATAGTAAAACCAGAGAAACTAATAATTTTGCAGTGGTTTCTTAATTTTTCCAGAGATCTTTGTATGTATTTTCTGTAGTTTATGGAATGTAAAGCTAAAATACACAGTATATTAGACTTTCGGGAATGCATTAAAACATTCTAAACTGCATGTATTTTCTTTTTTCTTTGAATTATAATATTCCATAGCAGATCAAACACATATATATAAAGTATAAAATTACCCAATGACATAAACAAGGTGATATTTGGAGTTAGAGCTCTCTCTACTGGTGATACCAGTCTGAGCAGTGGATGAAAACAGCTGGTGCAGGAAGAAAAACAGGATGAGAATTGTCAGGAATTCAAAGTGAATTTCTAATCTTACCAAAATAGCTGAACTGGAAGCATAAAGAACTGAGGATTTTTCTAGTTCAGTTATTTTGGCCTTAAATTTGTAATTCACTATGAATTCCTGACAATTCTCACTTCAGTAATAATCCTGATAGTGGAATACATTCATTTGATGTGAACCATTCCATATCTCACAGGGTGATTCACAAAGATCGGATGTTTTGGGTTAATCTGTGGGAAGTTTGAGAAAGAAATTAGAGATAATCCACTATAATTAAGCATCCTTTGTATTTTTATTGAAATCTCTATGAATTAGCTTTTATTACCCCGATATTTCACCAAGATTTCACCATTCTGGGCACTGTAACAACTTAATCCAATAAAGTTGTTATGGTGTCTGGAGGTCCTGGACCCCAATCCAAATGGGGCAAAACTATGGGGCCATTTGGACTGCATAATCCGGACATTGTTGATTCAAATATTGTGTTTTATACCCCGCCTCGTATAGACTGTAAACTCGTTTGAGCAGGGTTCTCTTCAACCAATTGTTCCTGTAAGTTTTCTTGTAATTGTCCTGTTTATAGTTAAACCCCCCCCCCCTCTTATAATATAATAATATAATTAAAAAAACACATATTATGGATTTTTATTTGGCCTTTTTTGGGGCTGAAGAAAGAAAATAAGAAAGAAGACATCAAATGGTAAGTATGACATTTTATTTTACAGGTTTAGTTTATTGCCCCCCCCCCCTACTGTTATTAGGCTGAGGGGGTAGGTAGGGTATCTCTATCACTTCTATATAAGACACGTTTTTTCCCCCAAGTTTTAAATGACAGTAAGCAGCCACTGTCTGCTTGCTGTTTAGGCGACATGCCCCTACTACACGGGGGGACCTGGCACAGGTAGGGGCATGCGGCAGGGGTCCCCCCTTATTGCACTAGTGACTGGGTAGCAATACTAGTAGTTTTAAATTTGTTTAGGCAGGGTTTAACCTCACTTTTATCAATATGGGGGTACCGCTGCTGGCTCCCTCCTTGTTTTTGTTTTTTGCGCATGTGTCCTAGTAGCCAAAAACAAATTATTTTTGGTGCAATAGGTGCACAATACCAACTAGAGCACCAGAATTTTCCCCAAACATAGATTTCAGAGATTTCCTGCACTAGTGAGTTAATCTATGGATTGAATTGAATCTATGAGGGAATTCCCCCGAACGTAGACATGATCTCTAGCCAGGGCCGGCCTTAGGCATTTAGGCGCCATGTGCGAAACATCTTCGCAGCGCCCCCCCTCCCCTGTCATCCATGTATAGTGTGTGTAGAAGTGTAGTGATTGTAGAGGGGATTTATTAAATTAATAATGGTTGAAAAATATTAATTACAAACACATACACACACAGAGTTACAGGCAGACAGTCACACACACACACGCACACACACAGTTACAGGCAGACAATTACAAACACACACAGGTACAGATGGACAGTCACGTACATACAGCCACATATACAGTGTCATACATACACCATTACATGCAGACCGCCGCACACACACAGGAAGACAGCCACAGACAGTCACACACACCGGCAGCCAGCCATAGACAGTCACACACACAGGCAGACAGCCACACACACAAGCAGACAGCACAACACACACACAGGCAGACAGCCACACAGAAGCACACAGAGGCAGACAGTCACTCTCACACACACAGGCAGACAGTCACACACACACACACACAGGCAGACAGTCAGTCACACACACACACAGGTAGACAGTCACACACACACAGACACATGCAGACAGTCACACAGACACACACACAAGCAGAGATCCACGCACACAGGCAGACAGCCACACACACACAGGCAGACAGTCACACAGACGCACACAGGCAGATAGTCACACATGCACAGAGGCAGACATTAACTCTCACACACACACACACACACACAGGCAGACAGACACACACACACACACACACACAGACAGACAGTCACACACACACACACACATATAGAGGCAGTCACAAATACACACACACAGGCAGACAGTCACACACACACAGGCAGACAATCACACATAGTTACCTCTATTCATTATGGAGGTGAAAGTAGTGCAGCTCCTGTATTCTGGTTGTTACATAGTTACATAGCTGAAAAGAGACTTGCGTCCATCAAGTTCAGCCTTCCTCACAAATGTTGTTGCTGTTGATCCAAAAGAAGGCAAAAAACCTGGTCTGAAGCACTTCCAATTTTGCCACAAACTAGGAAAAAATTCCTTCTTGACCCCAAAATAGCAGTCAGATGTCTCCTTGGATCAAGCAGCTATTACCCCCACTAAATAGAAATTATACCCCTGTATGTTATGTTTTTGTAAGTATTTATCCAATTTCAGTTTAAACATCTGTATGGACTCTGACAAAACCACCTCTTTTGGCAGAGAATTCCATATCCTTATTGTTCTTACTGTAAAAAAAACTTTTCTTTGCCTTAGATGAAATCTCCTTTCTTCCAGCCTAAATGTGTGACCTCGTGTCCTATGTATAACCCTGTTTATGAATAGATTTCCAGATAAAAGTTTGTACTGGCCCCGAATATATTTATATAAAGTTATCATATCCCCTCTCAGGCGCCGTTTTTCCAAACTAAACAGATTTAATTTTTTTAACCTTTCTTCATAACTAAAATGCTCCATTCCTTTTATCAATTTTGTAGGTCGTCTCTGGACCCTCTCCAGTGCCATGATATCCTTCTTTAGAACAGGCGCCCAAAATTGCACAGCATATTCAAGGTGTGGTCTTACCAGCGATTTATAAAGAGGTAAAATTATATTTTCATCCCAAGAATTTATGCCCCTATTTATACATGACAAAATCTTACTGGCCTTAGCAACTGCAGATTGACATTGCATATTGCTGCCTAATTTGTTGTCTATAACAATTCCCAAATCCTTCTTGTGTGTGGTTATCCCTAATTCACTACCATTTAGTGTGTAAGTTGCTTGTGCATTCTTAACCCCGAAGTGCATAACTTTGCATTTCTCTATGTTAAATTTCATCTGCCATTTTAGTGCCCAGTCCCCCAATTATCCAAATCTCTCTGCAGCAAAGCAATATCCTGCTCACATTTTATTACTTTACAAAGTTTTGTGTCATCTGCAAACACTGATCCATGGCTTTCAATGCCTATTTCAAGATCATTTATAAATATGTTAAATAGAAGTGGTCCCAAAACAGAACCCTGAGGGACACCACTTACCACTTTTGTCCAGCCTGAAAATGTACAATTAATGACAACTCGTTGTACTCTGTCCTTAAGCCAATGTTCTACCCAAGAACAGGAATATTCATCTAGACCAATTTCTTTTAGTTTGAAGACTAACCTATTGTGAGGAACCGTATCAAATGCCTTGGCAAAGTCCAAGTAGATCACATCCACTGCAACACCCTGATCTATACTTCTACTTACTACTTGTTGGGGAAGCAGGGACTCCTTCCTGCTTAGCACGCAGCAATTACCCGGTACTTTGAGCCCCGCCCCTGCCACACGCTAAGCCCCGCCTCTTGTCTGTTGCCTTTGCCAGTCCTCTCCTTTTTCTCCAGCCCAGAGTTTATGTGACTGTCCAATCACAGACTTCCCAATGTAGCTCAATGAAAAGTCTTTGAAAGTCAGGTGCTCTGTGCTATTGCTGTTTCTTGAGGTTAGTAGGACCTGTTTGGTTGACAGCCAGGGGGGTGTAATAAGGTTAATTTATAAAAGTACAAATTTCTATTTAAATCCACACTTTTTGTAAAATGAAAAAAGAGCACAAACTCTTCACACATAAAGCATTTCAGCAACCTGAAATGCTTTAGGGGTCTGAAGTATCCCCTTAAAGTGTATATTTTGGTCCATTTAAATATTGGTTAGAATGTAATATATTGCCACTGTAATAACCGAGTCAATCTCTGTTCTCGCAGATAGCCTTCAATAGGAGCGCAGCTCTACCGCGCATGTTCTTTTAGTGGATTTTAGTTTAGATGCGAGACGTCATGTCGCGGCAGACAGGGCGAGTTGAATTTTGGTGCTGGAAAAAAATAAATACCCATTTTTTCCCCTCAGTTTTAACTTAGATTTAGGGGGGCCTTGAATCTAAATAAAGAGAACACTACAGATCTAGTGATACAAGTTTCTATTTCTAACTCTGTCCTGTTTCTTTACTGTGTCTCTTTTTAGTGTAGAATTATGCACACATATTCAGGTGACACTACGTCCTATTGGTTCGCTCACACAACACATTCCCTTTGCTTGCCTAGTTGCATTTCGGGATGTGTAGTTTTTTTTTGCCAGTGGGCGGTGCATTTCCCCACCTATCGTACTACATGTCCCGTGATGCTCTGTGACCGGGCCCTGTCTTGTATCCGGTGTCCTTGCCTTCGGTCACAGTGATCCCGGCTTCACCATGCTATCCTCCCGCGCTCTTCTCCTTCTCCGCCGGGCAGCATTAGCCCAAGTCCGCGGCTATGCTGAGGCAGCACCGTCAGGGGCCCCAGCAATGAGCTTCACCTTCGCCTCCCCGACCCAGGTCTCGCCATAACTATTCTATGTAATGTCTGCGTACTCTGTATGTGTGTGTTACCCGTACATTGGTGTAACATTGTGTGATTGAGAGGTAGTGGTTATGGTAGGCAAATTATATATATTTTTTATTTTTATTTTTTTTACTACCATAAACGTGTGTTATATATGTTATTATATTCGTTTATATTTATAATCATTTATGTGATGCATACCTGAGTTTCTGTTTAAATATTTAGAAATATTGCCTATTAAAGTTAATAGTTTTAATTTGCTGAAAGGGACTGCAGTGCAATAGTTGGATACAGCTGCTCCAATGTCACTCATGGATGTAGCTCTGCAGTGTATGTAATACAGGAGAGATAGAGGCAGGGATCTGACAGCAGCCAGGATTATTGAAGGCCTGTCTAATCTCCTGTCCTGTGCATTGCTTAATCTTGAATATATTTTCAACTGTGAAACTAAGTATAACCCACAGTGGTGTCTAAGGGAGAGAGTAGAAAGAAGAGTTGAGTCGTAGTTTAAAGGGCCACATGTCACCTTCTGTTGTGTGACATTGAAGTGCAAACCAATGGTTGTTTTTGTTTGTAGTATTATTCAGACTTAATCAAGTGTACACACCCATAGCCAGTAACACATTTTGACCATGAAATGTAATTTCAAGAACACATGTATGTGTGTGTTCTTGTAATACATTTATTTATTTTTTTTGGACTAACAGAATTTATTAATGACAAGTTTTCGGGAGAACCTCCCTTTCTCAAGTCTAAAGCATTTCTGAGCAAGACGAATTACTGAACTAATACGGCTACAATCTCTACTTGAACTATATTATAATAATAATAATAATATAATATATATATATATATTTTTTTTTTATTATTATTATTATCTCAAGTAAGGTTTTAGAGTGTTCCTTTAACAAATCTGGGACTCTTGTGGTCATGGGGGTTGGAGGTATTCTTTAAGTGTCTGTTATGACATGAATTTTTAAATTGGAAATGTCACCGTCTAGGGACTTTGAAGAATTTGCAAAGGCCCCAATGGTAACATTGCTGCTGGTGATCCAGTGGCAGAAGGGGGGTGGAGAAATGGTATTTTTATTTACCTGAACCTCTCCCTCATGGGTGCCAGCCTCATCTGACAGCCAGTCCTCGACTGCTGGCTGAAGTGCCTGGAGCTGACGTCACTGCTGTATTCTCACACATGCGCGAGAGTTAAGCATTTAAGGGACCCTGGGCACCCAGACCACTTCAGCTCATTGAAGTGGTCTGGGTGAAAACACTTTTCACCTTTAACCCTGTGCATGAAATTATTGCAGTTTTTATAAACTGCAATAATTACCTGCTGGGGTTAGCTCCTCCTCTAGTGGCTGTCTACCAGATAGCCACTAGGTAGACTTCCGGGTGGATAGGCAACTTTTGGTCACCTAAACTATGCTGGACATCCTCACACTATATATGAGGACTTCCAGCGTCACCGGAATCCCCATAGGAAAGCATTGAACAATGCTCTCTTATGGGGAAAGCATAATGCTAGTGTGACAATTGAGGGATAGCGGCGCTGGACCTAGGTAAGTGACAGAACCCCTTCTGCACCAAGGGGGGAAGCAGTGGGTCTTGACAGAGGGGAAGCTATAGTGCCAGTGCTAGTTTGTTTTCCTGGCACTGTAGTTTCCCTTCAAGGTCTATGGTGGAGACACTGGGGTCCTCCATAGACATAACTAATTCCCTGCAGCCATCACGCGTGACAGCTGGGAGATTGACACTTTTTGATGGCGGTAGCTTCTCCCAATGTCAAGAAGTGTCTAGCATATGAAAAATACTGAGACAAAATGGAAACTTCAGTAAAATTCCAACACAATCAAAATTAGTATTTTGTAATGATTTTTATCGTTATGTAATACTTAATTTGCAAGTGGTGGTGACAGTATCGCTTTTAACTTAGAGCTGGTGTTTTAATCTCAGGGCAGGACCGAAAAGATGCTGGGAGAGAACTGCACTGTCTGTCTTCCATGCACTCCTTTTGGCATATCAGTGTGAGGATTGATTCTAAATTAAGCACTCTAAGCAACGTAACCTCAGTAGTCTGCTGCAGTGTTTATGGTGCCAGCGGATCCATGGCACCATCTATTGTTAGGAGTGTCAGCTGATGACCCAGGGCATGAAATTCAGTCCAGAGATAAATGGAATTGATATGGCTAATGTTAGGGATCGACCGATTATCGGTTTTACCGATATAATCGGCCGATATTCGGTATTTTCGACAATATCGGTATCGGCCAATTCAGATACCGATATTGCCGATAATACCTCCTAGGACCGTCAGGCTCATTACAAGCCTGGTGGTCCTGGGGGGAACGGGCAGCAAGCGCTTACTCACCTCCCAGCAGCTCCCCAGTGTAACTCTCGCGAGACCCGCGGCGAGAGTTACGCTGGAGGAGCTGCTGGGAGGTGAGTAAGCGCTTGCTCTCCACCCCCCCCCCACCCCACCCCACAGCTCAGCTAATGCCACTGGACCACCATATCCCCCCTCCCTGGCCAGGCAACAAGCAGGGAGGGGGGACAACAAAAATAATAATTAAATATTAAAAAAAAAAAAAATTTTAATAAAAAATGCCCCCCTCACACACACACTCCATTATATACACTACACAAACACACTGTGTATATAATGCAGTGTTTGTATAGCGTGTTTATATAATGCACACTACACAAACACACTGCATTATATACACACACACACTCTCTAATATGCATAGAAGGGGTTAGGGGGGTACTAATATGCATAGAAGGGGTTAGGGGGGTACTAATATGCATAGAAGGGGTTAGGGGGTACTAATATGCATAGAAGGGGTTAGGGGGGTACTAATATGCATAGAAGGGGTTAGGGGGTACTAATATGCATGGAAGGGGTTTAGGGGGGTACTAATATGCATGGAAGGGGTAGGGGGGTTAATATGCATGGAAGGGGTAGGGGGGTTAATATGCGTGGAAGGGGTAGGTGGGGTTCTTTTGTGCATGGAAGAGGTAGGGGTGGTTCTAATATTCATGGGAGGTGTAGGTGGGGTTCTTATATAAATGGAAGGGGTAGAGACGGGTAGTAAAATGTATGGAATGCATTTCTGACAGTGTCACTGAATGACACCCTAAGTCAGGGGCAGTATTACACAATCTGTATATGTATAAAAAAATATAAAAAGTAATCTGCAAAGCACAAAATGTTTGTGTCATATGTCGTGCTAAAAATTAAGCTAGGAATATGCATATTTTTTTAAAATAATTTTTAGAATAATGATACAGACATTTTATTTCTTACATTTTTTTTTTTTTTTTCCCCCAATGTATTTTATTTTTAAATTTTCATTGGACATACATAGCATAAATAGGAATTAACTTGGGGGGTACAAGGAGAAAAGGCGACAATACATATACAATGTATCAAATTATACAAATGTGTCTGTAACAACTGTTCATAGAATTAGATAGTAGTCACAAGTCATTAGCTTCCAAATACTTTACGTACATTGGTAGGTACATACATGTTTGCCTGAAGATGTTCTAAGGCACTGATTTGGTTCCTTACGCCCTAACTGTTGGAGCTGCAGGGCAGGGGAAAAGGGGGAATTAGCGTTGGTGTTCTATGGCAGCAAATATATTGTTGTTAAAGGTTGTTACAGTGGGTAACCATCTTCACCCAGGAACCCTGGTGTTGTGTTGTGTAACTCATAGTCCCTATTGCTTCTCACCATACCTATAATCCACCCATCTGCGCCACCTTGTTTCATGCCTATTCTGTCTCTCAGTGATACGACTTGCCATGCGCTCGTATGTATATATCGAGTCCAGTCTACCTAGACTCTCTGGTAATGTGGGTGCCTGTGTGGATTTCCATTTTTGGGCAATTGCAGTTTTGGTTGCCATTAGGCAGTGGATCGTTAAATAGCTTTTATCTTTGTGGAGGTTGTCTGGGAAAATGTGTAATAAGAAGCACTCTGGTTTCGGAGGAACCCTAATCCCTAGGCTTTTGCAAAAAAGTGTTTGGATGTCTTGCCATAATGATGTGATCTGTGTGGATGTCCAAAATATATGGTAGATGGACCCCTCTTGTTTTTGGCATCTCCAGCAAAGTTTGTTCGCTCCTGGATATATGTGGGCCAGTTTGTTGGGGACCAGGTACCAGCGCATGGTTAATTTGCAGTACGTTTCCCACTGATTGAGACTATGTGAGGCCTGCTTTGAATTGCATTCCCAGGTCCATTTCCCATTTTGTCATGTAGGAGGGTTTTGTTACCGTATACTGGGTAAGAAGTGTATTGTAGCAAAGGGACAGTGCTTTAACCTTGGGAAGCTTCCCCATACATTTTTGGATGAATGGTGGTAGGAGACTGGATTCTTTCAAGATAATCCTGCTCTCTTGTATTATATTCTTTATTCTCAGATAGGTGAATAGTTCCCTGTGTGGAATACGGAATTCCCTGGCCATGTCGGGGAATGGTTTGACACCCTCTGGGGTCAGCAAGGAGCGTACCCCAGAGACCCCCCCGGCTGAGCCAGTTGTCTAGCTGCAGGTTAGTCGTTCGGACAGCCAAGGCCTGAAGCGGTGCCGCAAGGAGTAGGTCATTCTCGCTGAGGAATAGAGGGGTAGTTTGCTTCCAGGTTTGGAGCAATGTCCCTGTGGCTGGTAGCAGGTTTTTGGTTTGTATTGGTGTTGTGTTTGCCCAGAGAAGCATTGGGATCGTGCCAGTGGGCAGGCATGCGTCTTCCAACGCTAGCCAAACTGGAGGGGGCTGCCTCTCAAGGATCGTGATATTTCTTACATTTGTGATGATTCTTTTTTCCTCTCTATATTCAAGGGACACTATAGTCACCAGAACCACAACAGCTAAACGTAGTAGTTCTGGTGTCTATAGCATGTCTTTGCAGGCTTTTTAACCCCTTAAGGACAAAACTTCTGGAATAAAAGGGAATCATGACATGTCACACATGTCATGTGTCCTTAAGGGGTTAATGTAAGCACTGCCATTTCGTAAAAAGGCAGTATTTACATTACTGCTGAAGAATACCTCTAGTGGACACTCAGATGGCCACTAGAGGTGCTTCCTAGTCGAGACATGAATGCCGCCCTATGAAGTATCTGCGCACGTGCGGCAAAGCTGCGCATGCGCACGAGAGCAATGACGCTTCTGAATAGAAGCGTTTTATTGCTCCCTGCTCGCACCTTCCTATTTCGTCATTTTGACGAAATAGGGGGCGCGGCATCAGGAGGATCCCGGCGCTGTATCCGAGTATGTAAAACCCCTTCCCTTTCATGTTACTATTTAATCATTTATATAGCAATTGCAAATTCCATAGCGCTGTACAATGGGATAAACAACTCCTAGTTTACGGAATAAGAATATAGCTGGCGAGTAAAAATGCTATCCCCCCCAGATTTTTGGGGGTTCCTACGCCCATGGTGTGTGTGTGTGTGTGTGTGTGTGTGTGTGTGTGTGTGTGTGTGTGTGTGTGTGTGTAGTGTGTTTATATAATGCAGTGTGTGTTTGCATAGTGTGTTTATATAATGCACACTACACAAACACACTGCATTATATACACACTATACAAACACACACACTCTGCATTATATAAACACACTACATTAATTATATACACACCCTACACAAACACACACACTTTGCATTTAGTATATACTGCATTCACTTTACGCACACTACACAAACACTCAGCTTTCATTATATACACACTACACTAATACACACTGCATACACTACACAAACACACACTGCATCCACTACACACACTGCATCCACTACACAAACACACACTGCATCCACTACACAAACACATACAGCTGCCCTGTCTAAACACACTGCATCCACTACACGTGGCATGTATATTTTGTGCATTTACCTTTAGAAATTGTTTTTATTTTCCAGAATGGTAAATGTGCAGAATATCGGCAAATTATATCGGCTATCGGCCTGAAAGTTCACAGAATATCGGTATCAGCTCTAAAAAATCAATATCGGTCGATCCCTAGCTAATGTGTACTGTATTTCTGACATCACTGATTACTCCACTGCCCTCTCCCGTGCATGTTTGTTTCTGTTAAAGGGAAACAATAGTGCTAGGAAAACAAAGTTGTTTTCCTGGCACTATAGTGCCCCCCTCCGTCCTTAAAAACCTATTCTGTCTCTTTCCTGATTTCGGCGGCGATGTCCCTTGGTGATGGTTCGGGCTCTGCCTCCGCTCCTCACGTGCCGGCAAAGGCCGCGCTCGTATTGGGATTTTTCCCATAGGAAAACATTGTACAATACTTTTCTATGGATTATTAGGTGACGCCTGATGTCTTCATGCGTAGTGCGAGGGAATCCAGCGTCAGGTGACCAAAAGTCGCCTTACGACCGGAAGTCCCTCTAATGGCTGTCTGGTAGACAGACACTAGAGGAGAAGTTGACCCTCAAAGATAATTATTGCAATTTATTTAAAACTGCAATAATTACCTTTGCAGGGTTAAGGGACCTGAGACACTGCACTCAGACCACTTCAATGAGCTAAACTAGTCTAGGTGCCTATAGTGTCCTTTTAACGCAGTCGTAAACTGATCTGGTGTGGAAAGTCAACATAACATCTATGTGCACTGTACTGTAAATTTATGGTAAAAAAAGAAAATAAAGATTGTCCAAAAAAAACCCCCTAAAAGTGAGCCAGTCCAGTTGCCTCCTGGCGTCAGAACAACTTCAGTTCAATTAAGGAGTTAATTGCCCAGGGTATTCCTTTACGTACAAAACAGAACCTGTGTCCTTAAGCTGTTAATGTTAAACTTTCTATATTGTTCACTTAGTTTAGTTTTGAGATGGTACCAGTTATGATTCTTTCTATCCACAGGTGTTTTATAGTAATGCAAATGTGAAACAGGTGGATGTCCCTACTTTAACAGGAGTATTTGGAATCCTTCCAGCTCACGTCCCAACGTTACAGGTACTGAGGCCGGGTCTGGTTACAGTGTTTGATGGTGAAGGAACCCCAAACAAGTACTTTGGTGAGAAAATTGAGTTTCAACTCTACTTTACTATGTCATATTTTATAAAACTGTCTAACCTTTCTACGATCTGCGGTTGTCTGTGTCCATATTCTTTTGTGGGCACTATGCTGCTTGTTTTGCTGTTTAATTTTAAATTTCAAGTCCTTCTATACTAGTCCGTAAAACTTATTTCCACTACAAGCCTGGAATACTCACCAGAGGTGAATTTCTACTCGCCATGGCTACATTTTCGCTCAAATATTTTGCCTTGCTAATATGCTTCCCACCAATGGAATTGCTAGTGTCTGTTAATTTTACCTTATTTTCTAGCTTTTTTTTTTTAAAGTTAACATCCAGTTAATTTTGAAAAAAAATGTTTTGATTCTTTATTTGGTTGTGCAAATTATTACAAACAAGCTTGCATTACCACAACAGCATGGACAAACATTATTCTGTCATTTAGTTAAAAAACCGTAGCATGGCAAGTGTAGGTGCTGCACCTTTTTTATTTTATTTTTTATTTTTTTTAAATTGTGACAAGAGGAAACAGGTAAGCATAACACGTGCGGTTGGGTTTTTCACAGTGAGTTAGCATGATGCATCATAAGGAACACCGCATTTGTGAGAAAAATTAGAGACATTATGGACACAATTCTATGAGGTTGAACAGAGCGAGCGTGAGAAATGCTTTCATAGAACTGTAGTAGGTAACCTAAGAAAGATTCCACTGGACAGGTCGAGTTAACTATGCCCGAGGCTTGAATAGAGCACATATTCGATAAAGGTGTGTAAATAGGAGGTATAGCCTGGTACATATTCAACAAAATGTATAACAGAAATTAAACTGGGAAAGTACTTATGGCTATGTGGAGACTGCTGTTATCCCAAGCCCTCTCAGCCAATGCCTGTGAATGGAAGGCCTGTACCCCATTGGAGCAGGAGTTCATCAAAGCACAGGAGGGCCCTCCACCTGTTCTGCGGGTTATGGAGCTTTCGCTTTGCTTCTCCATGTGTCTTTTGTAGTCCAGCTTCAGGAGCAGTGCTCCACGATTGCCTCATTGCACTCCCTAGGCCTTGCTGAGTGGGTACCTTCCAATAGCGTCAGTTGCGCTGATTGGTATGGCTCCATCTAGAGCGCCGAGTAGGAGTATGGTGTCGAGTCTTAGGGGCTGGCTTTCAGCGAAGCCGTTTCAGCCGAGGGTCCTTCTGTCTTCCCTTCATCAGAGTTCCCCGAGGTTGCCGTGGGAACTGCACGAGAGCTTGTGTGAAGAAAACTTATTTTTGGCATTTTCTTCTGTTTGTTCGTGACTTTAAGCTGTATTTGTTTATTTGGGATTTTATTGGTTCGGTAGATTAAACCACCGAACACCGACCACCCTCCTGGCTCATTACCTTCTAAGGGAATCGTCTATTAAGCGCTCTCTGGGCGGCCGCTGTTCGTATATATGAATGCCACGTGGAAGAGAAAATGGCGGCCATCTTGTTTGCGTGAAAGGAGGCAGCGGGACTTGGTCGTCAAGTGTCTGGAACTAAAATCGGACACTCGACTTCCCGAACCACCGCTGAAACATACGAACGCCTGCTTCCTTTTGTTGCCGAACAGCCAGGAGAGAGCTGTAACGGATCGCCTGGCACCACGACTGGGTACCTCCGTTGAAAGATGCTCCTAGCGCTTCCTGAGGACTCCAAGCACTGCAGCAGACACCACAACCACCGAACCGGAGAAGCATATGAATCCTCTCAAGCATATGAATGCTGTAGACAGTTGAATAGGAAAAACCATACGAATAGGTTTACTCTCCTAGCAGTCAAACTGGAACAGCATACAATAAATCCTTCCCCCAATAATGAGACGACACTTCACTTTGAGGGTTAAGCAGGATCTCTCTGTACTGTCACATACAGTCTCTTTTATTCCCAATCCACAAACATAGTACAGCCCACAGGGCGTTACAAAACAACCAATCAATCCGTACAATACACCCAGACACTCCCACACAAAATCCTCCCCTCTGCATGTGATATGATTACTGAACACAATGGGTAATCTCATTATCACCGGCAGAGGAATACAGTTTTTACACAATATTTATAACTTCTAAAATATACATGTCACAAACATAAAACATACATTTTCACAATCAATCCATTCAGGGGAACAACATATTAAAAAATGGCACGAATCAGACCAGGGGTTCAAAAGTTAAGGGAAAGTCCTTTGTGACTAAATGAAGTATGGCTTTCTGGCCCAAACCAGTTTCAGAGTCTTCTATCCTGGAGAGTAATTCAATTATCTCCCAGGATAGACACAAGACTCCATTAAGCACATGGTTGCAAAAAGACACAAAACACTTTAAAATACATAAAGTCACCTTTTACACATAAGACACAGACATTTCACATATCCCCAGATAGCTGGGATCTGAGCGCACAAAACTACCAAATAGCGCTCAGATCCTATGCACACAGTTCAATTGCCATGGAGACGAAGTCTTTAACTACATGAATGGGCTCCATGGCATAGCTATCTGGGTTAACACATTCACATAAAGTCTGGTCCATAGTCCAAAGGCAAGAGGCGGGCAAGCAGCCCCCTCCAAGGACACGTGGCGAGGCCGGTTTCGCCACAAGTGCCATTCGTCGTTTGGTTCATACGAACACGGGGAACAATCGTTCCTATGAGCCAAGAGGCTCCATTCGTGCTTTTATTCGGTTTTATGCTGTTTTCTGAATTGACCGACCGCACCCGCTGAATTCGTGGAACTGTTTTGTGCAGGAGCCTCGTGTGCGGTTGGTGAACTAAGACTTCCATACTTTTTGAGAACCCTTGAACCGAAATTTGAATATGTTGGTCACCCAGATCGGGGCTATCAGGGGACATGTGTGGGGATACCTTGTGTGTAAAGGGGTGTTCTAAGTTTTGGGGAAATTGTGTGTCCTCTGCCTAGAGATAATTGGGTTATTCCTTAACTTATTTCAGAATCTCTCAGGCAGAGGAAGGGAGGGTTTTACTGTAAAACTGTATTATGATTGGTTGTTCCTTTTGTTTACTATTATGATTGGTTGTTCCTTTTGTTTACTATAGTTTCCCTTCCAAGAATAGTCTTGGAAGCTGCACTCATCTACACTATTCCTCTACACCCTAACTGCAGCTATAATCACTTATGCTCAGCTATTGGGAAAGGAATAGAAGAACCTTAGTACCATAACCACTGAAGGTCTTAACAGATTGGATGCTTGGTGACCTGGTCAGCGTCTGCAAACCAGGAGGGAGCTCACCTGACCTCTGTGCTTTATCTCGCCAGCCCATGTGCTCGTGTGAGAGAGAAGCAGCAGCACTTCTCCGTTCCTCCAGTTTGGCCCAGAAGCTGGTAAGAAGTGCTTCCAGTCTGATCATGAGGCTTATATTTGAATCATAGGGAACCCTGTGGGTTTGTGGTAGTCTACTCTGCCGTAGTAGGCCTATCCTCCATTTTGAGGCACGCTGTTGGGTTCAGGTATGGATTGCGTGCTGTTCGTTAGAGCAAGGGAATTACTCAAGATAGTCCAGTGGGGACCAGGATAACCCCCGCGGGTCTGGGGGTGGGGGGGTTGAGTAAAATTGATCTGCACAGCAACCGCACAGGGTGAAAATTGCCCACCTTCCCCTTGCACTGTCACCTGCAGGCTGCGACACACTTTCACCGTTACCCGGTGCTCTGAGAGCGTGGTCGGTACCACATGCCCAATACAAGTAGGTCTCAGGATTAGTGCTTCTCAATGTGGGGTTTTCCCCAGTTAATTGCCAAAGTTAGCGGGAGCTCGTGCGGCATGCGTCTGCTCAGCTAAAGGTCTCGGCGCCACCCCCCAGTTTTTTTTAAATTGACAAATCATCATGTTCAACAGCAAAACTACGATTTTTAAAGAGACACAATGGTGACTACAAACAGTGGTCTTTAAATGGACACGATAGGCACTCAGACCACTTCATCTCATTGAGTTTGTGTGCAATGTCCCTGTCATTTTAACCCTGCAACTGCAAACATTCCAGTTTCTAAAAAACTGCAATGTTTACATTTCAGTGTTAAGCCTTCCTTTAGTGGCTGTCTATTGGGACTTTCTGCTTTAGCTCCATGAAACGATGCTGGACATCATTCTGCTTTTCATGAGGACGTCCATTGGAAAGCATTGTGCCTAATGCGTGTGCGGCTGATGTTGGCATAGGAGCCCGACGCAGCACCTGAGTATCCTCTGCGCTGGTATCAAGTAAGTGTGAACAGGTTTTTTTTTTTAAATCCTTTATTTCCTGGAGGAGGGGGCAGAGAGACACTATAGTGTTAGGAATACAAAACTGTATTTCTAACACTAGAGTTCCTTTTAAACAAGGGCTCAACAAATCCTAGGTCGCCATGGCACCTTGGATGTCAAAGCTCAGGGTTTACATTCTTTCTATGTTCTGATCTAAGCCAATACTTTTCTATAGGAAAGCAATGGGAAGATATTGCGTATGCGCAGCAAAAACTGTGCCATTCAGCATCTCCTCATAGAGAAGTTTTTAATCAATGGTCTCTATGGGGAACAATCAGTGCCTCCATGCAGAGCGTGGAGACACAAAATGTAGATGCTACACAGTGTTTACATTGAAAAGTATGCAGGTACAGGCTATAGACACCAAAGTAACTACATTAAGCTGTAGTGGTTCTGGTGTCTATAGTGTCCCTTAAGAATTGCATTTTTCTCGTTAAAAACTAAACTTAAATTTTTTTATTTTATTTTTTATTTTTTTTAAACTGGCTCTTTTTTTTTTTTTTTTCTGGCTCCTAGATTCCAAACCAATGTTAAGCCCTGCTTTAAACTACAATAAATGTATTTAGAAATTAGTCTGTGTAAAATAAGCTACATGTTCATGTGCCACTTATGACGGCTCTGTCACCCACTACAGATTTTATATTTATGAATATTTCATAAATATAAAATCTGTAGGAAGTACTTTCATCGACTGTGTTGTACTTTCACTGGAATTCCAACTCAGTCAAAAGATACCTTTTATGTCAAACTTGTGATTTTCATTTATCACCAGTGATGACTGTAGAAGGGGGGTGGGGAACTATCCTTTCTGTGGAGGCTCCTACAGTCTTGCATAGACCTCAATGCTGCACTCTTGCGCAGTCGTTGGTGTACATCGCTGATGTCTGCTCCTGGCAGCTGTAGTGTCTCAAACAGCAAAGTCACTGTCGGGGATCTTTGCAAATTACCAGTGACAGCAGTAGTGCGAAAAATGCTCTTTGTATGGAGGATGCTTCTGTCTAAGGGTATCTTCCATAGACCTCAATGCTGTAGTCCTATACATTACTGAGCGAACAGAACTGATTGTGCCTCTTGGCAGTTAAAGTACAAAAATCTGAAGAGGATGGAACAGAAGATCATGGTGGCACCTGTGAGGGACGTAAAACCTAACATGCCAGCACCCCAGGCGGCAATGTCACCATGTGGGGTTTCTGCAATTTATGTAAAGACCCCAAATGGTGACAGCCAGGCACTTTATAATTTCTCTGAAGAGCCTCGCCATTGACCACAAACCCATCCACAATCCTAAGAGTAAAGTCAATTTAGCCATCTAAAATGTTGGGAGGTATACATTGTTGCTTTCTCCATCTCTACTGTGAATATTTCTTGTTTGATGTACAAAGATATTTGCAGTGTTCCATAGGTTACTGGTTAGCCAAACTGTTTCTTTCAGTTATTGTTTAACTCAAACTTCTATGATGCACTGATGCATAGACAGCCCACACACTTGCTTTAAATTTATTTAATTTTTATTGTATTTTCTCCACTTGAGAACTACAGTGTAATCTTCCCAGATCAACACACTGACTGATTTAATCTAAACCTGAAACTGTATTTATTTTACATCTGTAATTGAGTTCTGCAGGGGGTTGCCAGAAAGTATAAATCATTGAATCAGTACTGCTCACATCCAGTGCATTGTCTGCTTTTCTCTGGATACCTTTGCTTACTGTCTTCAAAGGAATGATGAGCATCGAGAATGGATTCATAACAAATGAATGCTGCAAATGGTGTTACCAGGACTGGTTTGTGAGCATGTTCTAAAAAATAGCCTTTTGTATTATTTTTGGAGTGACTGTATCAAAGGTCATGTTTGTAAATAGTTGACAGTAGCCTAATGTAACAGTGGGTTAAAGAGAGTTTTGGAATGAGAAACCTAAACCTTCCGTCAGAGGACTAGCCATGTACTCAGTTTTTCATTGGCTGCTTCTGCAAAAACTTTGCAATGGGATTCATCAGCAAAGATGGAAATGATAACTATAATTTCCACTTTTGTTAGTGTAGTTGGTCATGTGTTTCCTTATGTACCGTACTCACTCTGTAAAGGGTCCAAAGTAGAATGCTGGATTATGGTGGCCTGGGGTAGGAATCGGAAGGGGAGGGACCTGCAGGACGGTTAGGAAACCAAGGGAACCCAGCGACGCCAGGCGAGCCAACCAGGGACAGCGCTCATTTATGGACAGCACAGCAGCCATCACACAGGGGTAACATTAACACAACTCCAGCTCTGCTGAGCCGAAACGTCGTAATTATTTTTTGGTTAGGTGGTGAACCCGTGAATAAACCTTACCTTCATTATCCTGGAGTGCTGCCTGTGTTGTTCTTCTTTCAATACTTGGGAGAAATATGTGATGGCACATGTTATTGTAAACCTGCTATTAAACAGACCAAAATACTGTACATTAAAGGGCAATTGGCAGCAAAATATATTAAGGTAATATATTGTGATTCACAGCTTAGTTCAGAGTTCAAATTTGGACTAGCTATTGGCGATAAAAAAAACCAAACAAAAAAAAAAAACCCAGGCTTGTAGTGAGGCATAACTTTTAGGCCTGGCTAGTCACATGTTAAACTCTGCATCCCCCCACCTTAAGTTTTATTTATATATATATATATAATTTTTTTTTTTTTCATTTCCACCCAAAAACATGCTCAGTTGTTTTTTTTGTTTTTTTTTCTCTTCTAGTAAGCAGTGGGTCAGTGACTGTGAATGAAGATTCCACTGTACAGCTGTTGGCAGAAGAAGCAGTGCCTCTTGACATGTTGGACCTGAGTGTAAGTTCCCCAATTTTAGCTGTTTCACAAGAGGCAGATATCAAATTATATAGCAGGGGATGCTCTTGATCAGATATCTAACCTAAGAAAAGACAAAAAAAATAACGTATTGACTTTAATAATGCTGTTTTCTGTGTAGCTCTGTCATGGTTTAAACATGTTTCGATTATTAATCAGGCTGCAAAGTCAAACCTGGAAAAGGCACAAGCAGAACTTTTGAAGGCATCAGATGAAGTGGCAAAGGCAGAGGCTCAAATCACTCTGGAGGCAAACGAGGCCATCGTTAAGAGTTTAGAATAATAACAGGTCTGTATAAACGAACCTTTTTGCAATCTACACTAAATTACTTCATAGGTCTGTGTCGGTACATCAAAAATGTGATAGGATCTCCTATTTTTCTGTGCATGTGTTTGTTTTGCCAGTGAATGTGATTCTATAGCACATAACCTTACTATATCTCCCTCCTACATGCATTGTGCAAGATTGCTTCTCTTGCATCCAAACATCTGGATGTCTGCAGTCCCCCACCCACTCACATTCTACCTGTCAATTTTCTATACACACACTCCACCTCCTGATGTGCTCTGCTGCTTCTTGTGTGTGGTGTTTAGTTTCCCAGATTTCTTTTTGCACTGCAATTATTTCTCCTCTGTTGTTTTGCCAGAAGCTTGCTCTTGGAAATATTCGAGCCTACACCCATATGTATCAGAGACGCGTATTCTTTAACCTTTCTGTATGTTAAACTTGCTATACTCGCTCACTGATGACAAACAACAACAGCTTTTTTAACAGATGCATTTAGAGGTGATGACCTGACCATATCTTTATTTATTTATTTATTCCTCATTCCTGACTCACCTTGTGGACACAATGCATGCAATTTCCCACTGGGTGGCAGTATTAATTTGATTCTCGAAACCTCTGTTGCAGACCAGTATTACACTTTTCAAAATGAAATCTCACGATTTTCTTATGGGAAATATTTAATTCAGATCTATTTTAAAGTCATTGGATTGGAACAGTCCAAGATTGATATATATTTTTCAGGTACCATTTATGTTAAAGGATTACTATAGGGTCAGGAACGCAAACATTTATTCCTGACCCTATAGTGCAAAACCAACCATTTAGGTGGCTTGCCCCCTATAAGAGTTTAAAACTCACCTTCTGCCGGTGCTGGATCCGCCCCCATTGTGACATCATCAAAATGGCCTATTTATTTATTTTTTAGCCAATTTATGGGAAAGCATTGGAAGCCCCTCCAGTGGCCACTTGGAGGTGTGTCTAGGGGCAATGTAAACACTTTACATGAAAATTTCTGAAGGGAGCTATTATACTCACCAGAACAACTACATTAAGCTATAGTTGTTCTGGTGACTATAGTGTCACTTTAAGTAAAAAGCAAATTCTCTTGGATATTCTTTTCTATTTGATAACTTTATTTTCAAAAAATGTTTGATTTTGACTTTTTTTCTTTTTTCCTTTTTTGCAGATTTTGCTTTTTATGTCAACTAAGGTATCCAGCACACCCCTACCTAAACAATAAAAAGATAATACAACCAAACTGTGTTTGTTTTTTTTTTTTTTTTTTTTTTTTTATAGGAGTGCTTTATATGGTATGGAATAATTCTAGTAATTACACTGATATTAGAGTTTTGCTCGATGATTATGTATTATTATTTATTACAGCCTGATTTCTCTTAATTGTGGGTCCCCTTATGTCTGTACACCATGCATTGGCATGGTTTGCGAACGACAAAAAAGCCCAGCTGTCTGTAAATTTTGACATACTCATGTGTATGACACATACTTGAAAATGTGTAATTTCAATGTATGCTTCCTGGTAATGGGGGAGGGAAGATGCACACGATCTCTCTTTGACTTTGTATGGATGACACATTGTTCTAGGTTAAAAAGAACATGAATGTGTGAGTTTGTGAAATCCACGGCACTCTAAAAGCTTTCCTTGCTTTGTATTTCTTTTTCTCCTATTCCTCTAATGATCTGGGTTGATTTAAATTGTCAAAGCTGTTCTACTAGGAAATTGAAATAGGCCTGTTTTTGTGTCTTTTTCTTTAGGGTTAGACATTCCTGGCATGCTCAGTTGGTCTGTTTTGCAGAATGTTTTGCTTTGGTGTTGGAAACCGACCTCCCAAGTGTGCTTGATAGTCTTTTGGGGTTACTGGCACTGGGGATGATAAATGTAAACCTGTTCTTTCCTATATCAAGTATAAAAATCCTATGTGTTGACTTTTACTCTCATGCATGGCACTTGAATGGTTGTCAAGGTTGGAATGTGCCGACTACAAAGAATCTGATTAAATGTTTCTTTTATTTATATATATATATATATATATATATATATATATATATATATATATATATATATATATATATATATATATATATATATATATATATATAATTTTGTTGGGCACTATCATGTATTGCCTTTTGTCTACCCTGCATTTTGCTGAGGTCATATCAGGTCCTGTCAACATTTCCTTATGACTCAGTCAGGCCATGACCATGACAAACCCAGGGATATTTAACACCTTCCATGTCTGAAACCTGCCTACTGATGACTAGACTACAGACCTGCCTAGTGGCTAACACTTTCCCAAGCCAGGCACGTGAATTGCAAAGCTGTGACTCATTCTTCCGGCAAAATAGTTAACCCTCTTCCTAGGACAGAAATACGGAACAGTGATTTCCTTGATAGGCATTTCAGTGTAATACTGAAATTTTTCAGTGCTCAAACAACCTGCAGAGCTACTGTGTACAAAAGCCAAATCCTTTATTTCCAAAGAGGAAAACCACCAGAGCACCTCAGCTTACTTAATGCATATGTAATGTAGGTTTGCACAGGCAGTGAAGATGTTAACGCCCACTCTCATTTTTCCCCCCTCCTTTTGTCCTCTCCTTCACAGACTGTTCTGCTTTTTCTTGGAAGACCTTCCCTCCCTCATTCTCTACCCAGCTCTGTCACCCTCCCTCTCTTCAATCACCACCTCCTTTATTTGGTTACTCTCCACCCTTTAGCTCTTCCCCCCCCTCCTGTTTTTTTCTTCTGCTTTGTGCTCCACCAATTCTGGTCACAGCTCAAGAACTTTCCTAACGAAGCTTTACTTGCGGTATAGAATAGTGTACGGTCTACACATTTTTCTTCTGACCAGATATGGCAGTGAAACACCTGTTTCTAATGCAATGACGGTGCAGTGTAAAGCATGCCCTAGCCTTATTATTTGAGCATACTATTGGTAAAACTCGATCAGTGAAAAATCTCTAGAGAGCATTCCAGATGCACCGTGGTACACACACACAAGAATATGAGGAGAAACACATATGTCTTACACATGTTGGAATGTAGCATGTATTGCTCACATATATCCTTAGTTGGGAGTTCGTTTGGGAACACATTCTTAAATTCTTTGTCATTGGCATGTTCATATCCTGTGTGTCACCACCACCCATGCCTCTCACACACACACCTGTGCAGGTGACAGGATTCAACGATGACTCACTGAAGACATGTTTAGCTATACCTTTTTATATAAACACTGCTACCTAGCCAGAAGGGGCAATGTCTAACTGTAACCCTTTATTTGCAATTGTAGCTACAAAAGGACAAAACAAAGCCCAAAGGTGTTTCACCTTTCAGAAAAACAAACCATGAAGAAAAATTATTTTCTTAATCTGTAAGTGAAACATACAACCAAATATACGTTTTGTGTTGAGTAGATTTTTAAGGTGTATACACTCAACTGTAAATAATGAAAAATGTTTAAATTTGAATTGCAAAATGAATGCTAAAATATCTGATATGAGACTTTGAATTAGACTGTTCTGAAGACATTTTCTAATTTTAAGTTCTATTTGTGAAAAAAAGCGCTATATTTAACAGCTGTTTTGTTTAGTGATAATTCGCACCTGTTTATAATGGGGAAAGAGGCGTTTTGAAAACTTTATAATAAACCAGGAGATACATGTCAAGTGGTTTTAGAAATGTCTAAGTGTGTATGTGTGTGTGTATATATGTGTGTGTGTATATATATATGTGTATATATATATATATATATATACACACTTTGAAAAAACAAAACTGAACACCTCTTTATTCTGAAACTAAGCATATCCATTTGCCAAGTCTTTAACATTATTTACAAGAAAACTGAGAATCTCATGAAGAAAAGAAAAAAGGCTAACAATAGTCATAGGTGATATCTAATGTTTTAAATGTGGTTAGTTTTTTTTGTGTTGGAAAAGGCCTTGTACGGCATGAAGTGCGTTTAGTGTCTCCCCGCTTTGTTGTGCCCTCTGCACATTGTGTGTTAATGTTAATCCAAGTTTTAAAACTTTGTGTTCAATAAAGCTCAACTCTTAACGGATCAGATTAAGTCTGATATTTTTGTTCCACATGTGGACCTGGCGATATGGAACCATTTGCACGTTAAATGGACAAAGAACTCACACACCAGGACTCTGTGACAGCAGAACCATTATTTTTTTTTTTTTTACCTGCTTTGACACTTGTCTACTACATTTTATGTAATTAAATATTTTATATTTATTTACTGTCACTATAACTGAGCATATGGCGAACACATGTTATGAATTAAGTTAATAGTAGATTGTGCAACTAACCAGACAGTCTTCCATCCTATTTACAAGATGTCTACAACTATCCCAACACTCAGATGAGTTAACAGTAAGAAATCTTTAATCTGCCTGTTGTGACTGTCATGTCAACGGTTAGGTTCTTGCAGCCTCCTTGTGTCAATCTTGACACATATTTTCTACACTTGTGTTATAAACGTGTCAATTTTGGTGCACACAGCCATACACCTGCTAACTCAAGCCCTTCTCGAGTTTGATTCCTTGTTTACCGATTTTTGGCTTGTCTTGACTACGCTAACTTCTGTAACCCTTGACCTTGGCTTTGTCTATCGTCATTGGGGCGCACTGTAATTCTTGACCTTGATTTGTATGAATTTTCCATTTCTTTTTATTGTTGTAGTACCGCTAACCGGCAATACATTGCTATGTATTATACTTTTTTTTTTTTGTCTAACATAGCTCTAACATATTGGGCCAAGTCTAATCTGACAGATTTTAAGGGCCTCCTTCACATGGTTAATTCAATAGATTTCCCAGGGATTTGATGTTACGTGTTTTGTGTTTTGTTTTTTTTCTTCATTCAAATGAAAAATCTCCAGTTGAAGAATTTGGTATCAGCGTAACTTTTTATTAGTTCAAGATTTATAAATTCAAATCAACATATTTCTGGGTTTTGCACCATGCCATCTTTTGTCTGTAATTCTATGTGCTCTTTTTCATTAACCCATTCTCCTCAAAGTTTGTTGTGTGCAACGCAAATTTCACTTCCCTAACAATAAGAATAATCTTTTTTTTCTAGGATAAGCACTTGAAGGTTTTCTGTGTTAAAGCAGCGCACATTATTAAAACACTGTTTTAAAGAATATATTGTTTATAGATAGCATTAAAATAACCAAACTTCATTGACCTTGCAAGAATTAAAACCTGCTGGGTTATTCACTTAAGTGAGAATAGTCAGGCGTGAGCTCAAAGTCAATTTCACCTTTTTAGAACACAATTGTTAAACTGGAAGCATAGCAGATTTTTTTTTTTAATTTTTTTTTTTCTTCCAGTTCATTCCATTCCATGTTTGCTTTAGTGTTGCTCTTCACTTTAGGAACATAGAATGTGACGGCAGATAAGAACCATTCGCCCCATCTAGTCTACCCAATTTTCTAAATGATTTCATTAGTTGCTGAACATATCTTATATCTAAGATAGCCTTTTGCCTATCCCACACATGCTTAGACGCCTTCACTGTGGTCACCTCAACCACTTCAACTGGAAGGCTATTCCATGCATCCACTACCCTCTCAGTAAAGTAATACTTATTTTTAGACTTTTGCCCCTCTAATTAAAACTGTCCTCTTGTTCTGGTAGTTTTTTTTTTTTTTTGGTCAATCTCTTTTTATTGAAATACGTACAGTGTTGGTAGTTTTTCTTCTTTTAAATATACTCTTCTCCTTTACTGTGTTGATTCCATTAATGTATTTAAATGTTTTTAATCATGTCCCCCTGTCGTGTCTTTCCTACAATTGCAGACTTTGTAAGTAACACAATTGGTGTTTTTATTCTATTTTTTTTTTTTTATATTGGACCTCTAAAATACTCTTTAGCCCACCAAATAATAACTCTTCCAGAAAATATATATATTTCTTAATGAAGTTATGTTTACTGAATAAGCCTCCACATTGCAGTTATACATATTCTGCTATGGCTACCCCAAAAAACCCACAAAAATGCTTTCATAATTCAAAAAGCTTCGCTTTTACTGCCACCTACATAATTTACTCTGTTCTTATCCCCAAGACACCTTAATAGTGAATCTCAACCAGTGACAATTACAGCTATTTTACAGGTTCTAGAACACCTGTCACTTTCTGTTCCTTTTTGGGTCTGCTTTTACCATCCTGAAGCATCATTGAAACTTCCTGTAACAAGGTTATCCAACTCTGTTGTTCATAGTAATGTAAACTAGAGTTTTACAGGATTCTTCACTAAAGTGGAAATTCAAAAGTGAATTTCAAATTTAATTTTAAAACTGCTAAACAGGAAAAAGAAAAAAAACTCTAAGTCCAATATACTTCCAGTTCAGCTACTCTGACTTTAAATTTGAAATTAAATGTAAATTGTCACTTTAGTAAATAACCCAGTTAGAATTTAATTTACATCTCACAGCATATCACTGAAATGCCATAAAATTTTGAAAATATTTTTTTTTTTTTTTTGTTCATTTCCTGTACCTATTACAATGGATAATTTGCATGTTGATAGCTTGTCTTCAGAGGGGTGTTTTATTGACTAAACCCTAAACTGTGAAGAATTCAAAACTAAATTGCAAAAATAGCAGATTGAGAGAAAAAAATCTGCATTTTGCCATTTGATTTTTAGTTCACCATAGATTCTTCAAAAAAAAAATACATGCTTTTTTAAAAAAAAATTCTAAGTGCACGGCAAAAAATGTTTACTTCTAGAATACAATACAGGCAAGTGTGGTATTTAGTGGCATACTACGAGAAATGGTCCCAACCCAAGTTCAATATTCTGACTGTTCCGTTATGTATATGGGCTACTTGGGAAGTGTTTATTTATAGACTTCATAGAGTAAGTACCTAGCTACAAACTAGGGATGCACCGAAACTGAAAATTCAGGATGCCCTTGGCCCGAAAATGGCTTTTTTTTTTTTTTTTTTCAATATTAGACTTTTTTAATTAATTTAATATGAAAAACTTCCCTTCTCTGTTAGTGGTCTCCCCACTTACTGTTCCTCTCCCTCTAGTGTTTTCCCTCCTCTCTCTTTTTTTGTAGTGTTCTTTTACATGATATAGTTTCTTTTCGTCCCCCCCCACCCCTGCTTGTACAGGAATGCATTCATAATGGAGTGAAGTAGAACTCTGTATGGCATTATTTTCTTCACTTATAGGGTCTCATTTACCACTGGCTAAACCCCTGAGCTAATGGTGACCAGGGAACTTCTTAAATCCAAAGATAGTATTGCACACAGGTTATTTGGAAATAGCTGCTGTTACTCTGGAGCACACAGTCCCTCAGAAATCTTCAAAATAATGTACTCCACAGACAGTACGGTGTGGTGCAATACGCTTAAAGCTTGATGGTGAAACATTTGATTATGCTGTACTTATCCAAAAAAAAACTTTTCCTGTATTGCACCACAGTGATGCCTTTGGAGTAAGTGATTCGGGGGACCTGGGAAAGGTTTATATTAAATGCCTGAAGCACTTTGGCTTGCTGAATTGCTTTGTGTGAAGAATTTCTCCACCACTCCTTTTAATTTTTCTTTCCAACAAAATGCAGTTTTATAAATTTAGCCTTGTTACACCCACAGGCTGTCAACCAGATTAGTGATGTTACTTTCTGGTAGCATAGCTCAGTGGAGCTAAACTCAAGAAGTCGGAATTGCCCAGAACACCTGCCTTGCAAAAACTTCATTGACCTGCATTGGACGTTTGTGGTTGGGCAGCCACCGAGAGTCAGACATGGAGCTTTTTGCAAAATGTTTTTCAATATACTTTCAATTGGGGAAAAAATGCAGCAATAAATGCATGCATGTTTTCATTTAGGGTATATCTACTAAATTGCTAAACACGATAAGCACACATAACTTTTGTTTCTAAGAAGTGGTCTAGCTGCTATGCCGCCTCATTTTTAACCCTGCACAACAGCAATGTTTTCATTGCAGGCATAAACTGCCTCTTGTGACTGTCATACTGACATCCACTAGAGGAGCTTCCTCCATTATGTCAATCAGATGGTTTGATAGAGACCATCTGAATAGCACAGAGCAGTGTTTTGCCCTGTATGTGCACTAGTCTCTCAATGCCTTCCTGTAGGAAAGCACTGAATTGGCTGAGATTGTTGATCTAATCTGAACATTATGGGGATAGTTTAGGATAATGCCTGTGTTTATACATTTACCACAAGGGTGTATATGTAACATTTCTACCTTGTTGGAATACCAATGTATTCTTGGTAAAGAAAAAGAACATGTACAAGGGAATTAGTCTGTATATTGAGTTTTTGCCATTTGTAAGGCAGTTTGCTCATCTGTCTAAAACACAATTGCCGCTATCATTTTATTGATCTTTCTGTATGACCGCCTGTTCTTAATTTATCTATTTATTGATCTTCTTCAAAGCTGTTTTTTCTGGCCTGCTTCCATTATATCAGAAAAGTAATCGTTTATATGGAACTTATTGCCAAGTAATCGCGTATATGTGTAGCTCTGTGACCTTGTGAACCTTCCCAGTGTTGTGGGACCTGGAATTTGAAGACGCTTGTGACATTGTGCCTTGGATTGCAACTGTTACAGCTCGAGTGCAGACGAGGCTTGGTCTAAGTAAGATCTATTCTTCCATTCCGTTTTTCTTCCTGGCATAATCTCTCCTACTGTGCTTAATGAAGGGAACATCTGACTGTAGGACTTACAAGGTCAGAACGACCTGCGGAAGGAAGAGCAGCTTCCGGCCTTCCGTACACTGTGTCCTTTGTCAGGCCAGGATGTGTGTCTCACTCACAATAGTAACTCACGGGTTGCGGAAAGCCAGGGTACAGAAAACTAGTGTGAATCCTATTAATGGAGTATTTCATGTTAGGGAGCACCCCATGAAATCAAATGTCATTAAATATAAAAAAGCACAGCCAAGTAAACACACTACAGATGGATTTTGTAATGTAGAAAGGTCCGCTGACTGCAGATTATCAGGAAAGGTTGAAACAGTGCTGGAATTGTATTTTATTAATCTCTCTCTAAAGACAATTCTTCTCTGGAAAGTTAAGCAAAACCATTCACAAATGATGCTATGGGTTGTTTGCTATAAAGTAGACAGAAGTTTGCTTGCATCATAGGCGCAGCTGTGGTATTTAATGGCAGGGTTTTCTAAATGAAGTTTATCAGGGCTGGCGTACATTGAACTGGATTTCTGGCTAGAGATGACCCATCACTGACGATTAAGCAGTTGTGAAATAAACAGAAAAATACACAGAGATATAAACTGTATGGCTAAATGGAGCAGTTTTTTTTTTTTTTTTTTAATAAGCAGATGGCATTGGAAAACTCAATTAACCCCAGTGCTACCACCTGTCTAGCTGACACAGTCCTCATATACTCACCCTTGAGGCTAGCTTTCTACTGCTTTCTCACTCCCTTGTGTAATCAAAATGGGTACTACAGGGCTAGCTTAAAATGACTGTTACATTGAATGACGCATTTTATAAACATACTTGATTAAAGAGGTATTAATATATATATTTAAATCATATTATGTAGTTTTTGTAACATTTTATGCATTTAGATAGTTAACTCATCACAATGTGCCTACATTGACCATTCAATTTAGAATACTTAATAATAAAATATATCCTACACGAAAGCAAGATATTTTATGCACTATGGCAGTATATTACCCACAAAGTCATTTGTTTGAAATGAGATCAAGCCACCCTAGAGTAGAAAGGACGAGTCTCCAAATCATCTTTCTCCTTCGCCTTCAGTTCTGAAAATTCTGGTGTCATTTCTGGTGCTTAAAGGGACACTATATTCACCAAAAAAAC